ATATATTGCATTTTCATTAGCCTGACATCTAAACTGTTTTCATTTCCTGGGTATTATTATTAAGAGAGGCAATGAATAAATAAACTAAAAATAGATCTATCATGGAATCCACTCTTGGGTATATAATGATATTTTATTTTTTTGACTGCATAAAATTCCATTGTGTACATGCACTGAATTTTCTTTATGATTAATTGGAGGGCATTTATACTTCTTTTATTTCCCATCTTTTGTGAATACTGCAGCAATAAAATGGATGTGTAGCTAGCTTTCTGGTATGTTGAATTAGAGTCCTTCCAGTGTGTACCAGAAGTGCTATTTCTAGGTCAAATGTTTTTTCTTCTTTCAGTTATTTGAGAAATGTCCATACATAGTAGCTGCATGTGTTTATATTACCACCAAAAGCACATAAGAGTTCTACTTTTCCTACTTCCGTACTGGCATTTGATGTCATGTTTTCCGTGATAGTGGTTCTCTTTTTGTAGTTACATTTTGACAGTTTCAGACATATATACAATGTGTTGTTTTTAGATTCACCTTCCCCTACTCCATTGTATCCCCCATTACTTTAATCCATTCTTCTTTCTACCTACTCCTGCAGAAGATCTACCCATTGAGAAAATGACTGCCTTCCTCTCTATCAACCACTAACAGTCCACTAGTTATTCAGTGAGAGATTCAGGCTTGTGGACACCTCCAGTATCTATGCTGGAACATAGGAGGGTGGGTATCCACAGTTTCTGCATGTTCATGGTTACATAAGTGTTATCACATCTTGACTGTCTTCCAGCTCTTAAATTCATTCCCCTCTAACCATTGTGATACTTCCCGGGCTTTTGCAGAGGAACTGGTGCACAGAAGCTAATCTCTATAGATAGCAATGTTTAATGGAAGGTTGCATTTCTTGTTAAAGTGACATATGGTATAGATTCTGACTGGACTGAAATGGAATCTCAAAGGAGTTTCATTTCCCATGTTTCTGTCCACAGCCTGTCTTCTCAGAAACATGGCACAATCTCTTGGTGACTTACATGTCAGGTCATCCAATTCTTTTTTTTTAAGTTTCACTCAAAATTTTTTATTAAATTTATGCTCAATACCACTTTGTAATATCCAAATCTTTTATTTGGATATTAGGGCAATTTGTCCCTCACATAAGAGACTTGGATGTATTCCTTTTTTAATTCTGGGGAATATTTTTTATGACTTAATTGTTCGTTGATTCTCCAGGAATTTCACATCACAAAACCCAACCCTGGTCACCGTGCAGGCCCTTCATATCTTTTGTCAACCCTGTAGAACTCCCCACAAGGAAAAAACAAACCAATTTAAAACAAAATGAAAAAAAACCCCACTCCTCCATTTTCCAACACCTCTTCATCCATCCTAGTTGCATTCAGTGCTGTGGGGTGTCAAATAGTATACCCTTTAGTCCAATTACCCCATCCACAATATGCTCATTGCTATTGGTTATTGGTCTAGTTCAAGGTCTCTGGCACACTGTCATCACTGGACCATCACTGGACCCTCTTGGATATCCTGCTGTTGCCCTGAGTCAAGAAGATCCTGAGCCTATCATTCCATAAGACCAGTCTCTTCACACACTCCAGTAGGGCATAGATAGGGTAGATGTTAGGGTGGGCCAACTCAAGGCCCAGGATATGGATCTGAGTGGTAACTGACCTGCTTTGTCTGGGACACTAGGACTAACCCCTTCAGGTGAGGGGCAGAATCAGCTTTCCTAAGCCCAAGTCATCAGAGCCAGCTATCCCATGCAGCCATGATGAGGGGTGGGGCCATCTTTCCCAAGTGTGAGGACCCAGCTCTCCCATGTGGGGTAGGATCAGCTCTCCTGCTGCAGTATCCAGTAAGGGGTAGAGAAAGCTATCCTAGAGCCAGTGAGGGACAGGCCTGGCTCACCACAGTTCTTGATTTTGACACCTATGTTTCCTATCACCTTCTGTGGCAACACGAGCCATAGATATCATCACAGACTCTAGCTGCACTAGGCACATGGGCCTAGACATGGCCCTTAGCTGTAGCCTGGGTTCAGACATCTCATGGCACCCAGATCTCTATGGTCCCATTTGCAGCATAACCCTCCAATCATCACCTGGTCTCAAGGGAAGGCTCAGAACCAGGGCATTTACATGGCTTTTAGTGGTATCAGGATCCACAGATATTAACCAAGACTCTAGATGCAGTGAGAACACAGTCCCACACATGACCCTGCACTGCAGCCCAGGCTTGGACATCACCATGGCCACGGTCTCCTCCCACCTTATATTCCTTTCTCTGCCCAGTCATTTCACTTCCCGCCTCAACCTCCCTAGTGCTGGGATTAAAGGCATGTGACTCCCAACAACTGGGATTGAAGATGTAAGCCATCACGGCCTGACTCTGTTTCTCTTTTAGACTGAATTAATCTCAGGTAGCCCAGGCTGCCTTTGAACTCACAGATATCCATCTGCCTCAATCTCCTGAGTGTTAGGATTAAATCTGTATGCTACCAATCCCTGGCCTCTATGGCTAACTAGTGGCATAGATCCCCCTCTCTGATCTTCAGACAAGTTTTACTTGTTAGATCACAAATAAAATATCACCAAATTTCACCAAATTTTAGATAAAAAAAATCTAAAATTTAAAAAAAGGTAATAACTAATATAAGAAAAACTATATGTAATAATTGCAATAACTACATACAATATATACAGGCAATAATTATATCAATAATGTCTAATCCATTATGTTTTTGATTTTTTTTTTAATCTGGGTCAGTTGGTGCTCAGATGGAGTCAGTATATCACAGCTGGAGTTAACAATATAATCCCCTATAAAACTCTATTAAATATTTCTTTATTAATAAAATGAAAAGCAAATGTACTTTGTGTCAGTCAGATTGGCAGACTTTAGGCCAACACAGGGAAACAGACTCACCCCACACAGGTTACAGAAAAACCAGAAACAGTAAGCCACATAGAGACTGATGACCCAGGAAGAGAAGTGTAGTTACTCAAATCTGAGTTAACTTTTGGACAATTTCCTCTAGAAGAAGCCTTTGATTCCTTCCCCTTTAAAAA